CCCAAAATTTGATGTCAAAATCTGCTTGCGTCCTATACATCGAAGATATGAATAATATATATGTATAAATATGTTATACACAAGCCACGTGTAAATATATTTAAATAGGCATGCATAGTTTAGTTCAATTGAACGTGTTATTTATAACAATAGAAGTTTTTTTCTTTTAAAAACATAACTATTTATAATGTTCTCTGAATAATAAAAAAATAAATTACAGTGAAAGCATTGAAGATTTTGCAGGTTTTGAACCAAACAAAATAACAGTAAACCTTTTTTTGATTTACGGTATTTTCTTATTTTGATGTTTTGAGCTCTTTTGTGTTTAAAACAATATATACTAATTTTTAAAGTATCAACTTCAATTTTTGTTTAATAAAAATCTTTCAAAGGCAACTGTAGCTTTTTTCTCCCCAAACTTTGTCTTCAAAATAATGGTGCGTCTTATATTCTGAAAGATACAGTATTTTCAAAGATTAGTTTCTAATGAATACTGGAATGTAAACTACTTTTAATCCAGTAAAATATTCTGTGCAACACCATAAGACTTTCAGTAAAATGTTGTTATTATCCAGAAACATTCCCAAAGTTATCAATTAACAGTTACCAAAAATGTAACACCTACATTTTCAGTATTAAAACAGAATTCAACTATGCATTGAACTCTTAAACAACATTCAGTTAAACCATAGGTTGTCTCCATTTTTCTTCCTGCAGAGTTTATCCATGAACTATCACATAAAATACAGACTTCCTCCATGAGCACTTGCATGCTCAGTTGTTTCCTCTAATATGTCAGCTCCAGAGATCATTCATTTGGTGAGAGAATGGGAAAATGTGACCACCTACAGGTTTTTATTTATTGAAATTCCATTCTAATGTTGAAGATGTATGATTCAAATTTATTACAGTGTCTCTAAATGGATGTGGAACAATAATCTCCACACTAAAGACTGGATAAAGTCTGGAAGAAAAGTGAATACTTCAGTTGGCTTGAGTATGAAAAGGAAGCACTGACCAATAGATATAACCAACATTTCAACATCTGTTGAATGGTCAACTGACATGAAATAAATTATGTTTGTTGAGATTATGGGGCTATTATGTCTTGTGGACAGCTGCACCTTTTTTCTTGGACCAAGTATGTTTTAGCTGAGCTCAATGATACTGACTATTAATTTTTGAGTCTGCGATACACATCTCGCTTCATATCAAATAAAGCAAGCTTGAGTTTAGCTTCATTATTGAAATACTTATTGTATAATCCACATAAACACTAATAAACAAAAAAATTATATATACAGATATCTTTGGTTTACTACACCAAATAAAGATACTGGAATCTTGTAAACCAAGTCTATCATACTTAAAATAGTTTTTGTACTAAAAAGTAGTAGTAGTAGTACTACCAACATAGAGAATGTCATCATACTATAAAAGTCTTGTGTTTATTAAACCACTTCTTTTATGCTATATCTTATCTGACATATGATCATAAACTCTTCTTTACTCTCACTCAGAAGTTCTTATTCATAACTACTAATGCAGTTTTTTCCTGTTGCTGCTGTTATCGCTTTATCGTTTTCAGTATCAATAAGACTAAGCTTGCTGATTTGTCATTTATTCTAAAGAATGTGCGGGTTAATTTAATAAAATAATAATAAGACATGGTTTAAAATAAGTAATATACTGTTACATAATTACATTTCACCACCTTTTTAACATCCCACAATTCCCTTAATCTTAAACACCTCAATAAGATCACCTCTAACTCTTCTTTTTCCAAGAGAAAAGTTCAGAGGTCTTAACCTATCCTCATATGATAGCCTTTCCACCCAATGTATCATCCTAGTAACCCTCCTCTGAACCCTTTCCAACAATTCAATGTCTTTTCTGAGGTAAAGAGCCCAAGAATGAATAGAATACTCCAAATGTGGCCTAACCAATGACAATTACAACTTCTTTAGACTTGTTTTCAATGTTTCTGTAGATACAACCTACAGATGAACAGAATGAATGCACAAAGTCAAAACTCTGAGCAGCTATTCCTAACTGAGAAATCAATTTTGAAGAAATACTGCTAAAAACAGAAGGGTTCCAGAAAAAGACTCTTTGGAGATCATCAGAAATACTGGGAGGGAGAAAAGTTCTTTGTAAAACAGTTCCATGAGCTAAGAATTCAAAAGAACAAGCAAGCCATATGGTAAATGGGACAAATTCATTAAAAGAACCATGTAAAGCAGCCACTTGCTTCAAATAGAAAAAATAAATAAACAAGGAGAACAAAATTAAGAGGAAAGTCTTAAAATAAGCACAATTGTAGAGTGATTGTAAGAATACTGAGAAACAGACAAGGTGACTCCTCCCCCCTCCCCCAAAAAACATTTGATGGTCTAAAGTTTGAGATGTCAAAGGAATAGAAAAAGACTCTTTAGATACATTACATAAACTAGCAATTTCATGAACACTTAATGTGGATGTAATGAAAGAAACCTTTGCAGCAGTTTTTGTCAGGGGTGGATTTAGGTATTATGGTCTCCAGAACCCACCTTCAATCCCTGATTGGGGTCAGTTATCATAGCGTGTATAGTTTAAATAGTCGTTGAGTTTCCTCTTGTGCCAGTGTAAAAGTTTCTTAACATACAGGGTCAGTCGATGTGACCTACCTTGTAATCACAAAGTAACCATCAGTTTCCATACTATAACTTTTAGTAAGTTTTATGTATCTTCACAATATTTGTCAAGTTTTCAGTAAACATTACAAGTTTTTTGTATAAAAAGAAATCTGAATTTTTAATTAAGTATTTTTATTAAAGATTTGTCCATGAATATACAGAATTATAGTTTTGACTATTCTGAGTGGAAAGTGATATTCATATTAATATTAAAAATACTTTTCTTCGTCTAAATATTTTCAAATTTTATTTTTTGGAATCTCTGAAATTTCCTAAATGAATATTAAATGTTTTTTCCAGTAAAACTTTATATTTTATCTGTTATTTTTTCTAACCTAACTCTATAAAGACTCAGAAGACTTGACTGGCCTTGTAACAATTATTTATCTTAAACAGCTTAAGGCTCATAAAAGTCTTCACCTGTTTATACATAATTTTATTGTTTTATTGTCTTTTGAATCTTGGGCCTAGAAAAACAAAAGCTGTTTCCAGTTACCTGACTGACCATATGTAGAAATGCCCAACCCTAAAATTGTTCAATGCCCCCCCCCCCCAAATCCATCTCCTGACTAACCCTAATGAGAAACCTGCTACCAAACTGAAGGTAATAAGAAACCACATCTCTGGTTCGTTAGTTGGCATGGTGTGTTACGCTCTTCAGCCAATTATAGCTGAGTTTCCATTCAGGCAAGGTCAAACATGGCAGCTACAATATGGCTGTCATCTTTAACAAATGCTCACATTTTTCTAAAAAAAGACAGTGTCACAGTTTACTGGAACAGTCAAATACATGTTCGTGTCATACCATCCTAAACTAGATTCGAATGATTATGAGCAGACATCAACACATGTTGATGTGGGTGAAATTTCAATGGAAATTCGGATAGACCAATTAGTAGACACATTCAGTGTCAAATCAATTGAAGCTCACTGTAGGCATAAACCAAAATGCCCCAGGAAGTTAAAAGTACCAATTGAGCAAAGGATACAGTAACAAAATTTTGCTTTTTATCTTCACCTGTAGCACAATTTAAATTGCCTTAATTTTTCAACTCAATCAGTAACCCATTGTGTCGAAGACAATGTTGTCACATTTTATTTCTAAAACCCATAATATAAGCCAGCCAAATCATCAAAAACATTACATGCTTACCCATATTCTACCAACTTGGCATGCATAAGCAGGGCCACAGCAAGTCTCTCATGGGCCTGGGCTCAGAAAAAGATAGTGAGCACTCTTATATGTATACACATATATATAAAATAAAATAAAGAACAAAAAAATTGGAAGTTGAATAATCTAATAATAATAAGTGATGTTCTAAAGTGGATTCTATTATTTTCATGCATTTTAATGAAAAAGATTATACCTTTCTTTTTTGCTCTGCAAAGAGGATAATCATCTCCTTTGTGTACAAACTTCTTGCATGCTCATGTTCTACAGAGTGTACGACAAGTTCATTGAGATGTGTTTGTGACATTGTTTTAACTTCAAAAATGAGCTCTCAGCTGTTGCTATTAACACTAGTATTGAGACTACAATTATCATTCTGTCAAGATCATTTAGCATATCTAGTTTAGAAAATTCCAATTTCAAGAAATAGTGCAGACATATCATCTGTTCAAGCAAAGAGGATGAAGGATCAATTTTGTATGTTTCAACCAGGTCTCTCCCAATGCTATAAAGTTCATCATCAAGCAGTACTGTTAATATTGGTGGTAGCATGAGGCAAAAAGTCTCACAACTTCATTCAATCCTTGAAAACTATTCTTCAGTTGACACAAACTGATGTTGACAGTTGGGTCTAAATAAAGTTCATCAAAACTATGCTTTACCTTTCACACTCATTTTCCCAAAAATCAGCCATGGTAAATACCAAAAAATTTCATTTCCCTGTATTCATTT